AGAGAGAGAGAGAGAGAGAGAGAGAGAGAGAGAGAGAGAGAGAGAGAGAGAGAGAGAGAGAGAGAGAGAGAGAGAGAGAGAGAGAGAGAGAGAGAGAGAGAGAGAGAGAGAGAGAGAGAGAGAGAGAGAGAGAGAGAGAGAGAGAGAGAGAGAGAGAGAGAGACTTCAGAGCCTTATGGGTTTGGTCTGAAATTATCAATATAAGGAATCAACAATTTGCCATCACATCACTTGAGGTAGATTAAAAAAAAACAATTCTTTTATTTTATGGGAACAAAAATTTTCTTTTAAAGTATTTTTTTTTATATTTTTTATGGGAATTATATATATATATATATGTTTTGGTTCTATTAGAGGATCAAAGATTCCATTGAGATGGGGACTGTTTTTTTGCCCTTTAATTTGATGTCTTATACTTAAAAAATTATCTAATTGGCCTAGTTAGTATTTGCAATCATTTTGATGTATTAGTATAATAATAATTTTTTTAATTTTTTAATATATTTTTAAAAAAACACATTAATAATTTTTTTTAAAAAAAAACATTGATTCTTAATAGTCGAGCACTCATGGTGAAACCTTTAGTTTTTATAGTTAAAATATAAATTGTAATTTAAAAAAATATGGCTAATTACAAATAAATTTTTTATAATTCAGTCATTTTAATTTCTTAAAAAACAAAAATAAAATAAAAAAATAATAATTAAACTATTTTATAATAAACCAAAACAATTATCCTTTTGTTGTTGCCTATTTGGGAAATTGTTAAGCTTTTGATGTTTTTTTTGACATATAAGATAAAATATAATATTTTCACACATTTAAATAAAATTATATCATAAACACCTTTTTATTTAATGAGATCAATGGTTAATTATAAATATTAAAGGTAGAAGACTTAGACTTGACATCTAAATAATAATAATATAATGATATCTTAATATATGTAAAAAAAAATATGTATGTTTTTGTTCACACGTGAATCTTTACTACGGTGCCATTGGCTAATTAGTTATCATAGATATAATGTACATGTATATATGAGTTAAAATATTTGTTTTTATATTAAATTGAGAGACAAGTAGTGTTTGTGGTTTGGGTGGTCCGGTGAGCATGTATGGGATCAAGTTCTTGGTTTTTTTTATATACTCGATGATGAAGGTGTATTTAGAAAACCACTTTGTTAATCTCAGAAGCTGTGGATGAGGAAGCATATACGACAATTGTTAAACAAATACTTTGACACGGGAACTTAACACGGCTATCTTTATAGGCACTCAACAACTACTCACTAAAGTCATGTTTAATTAGATGATAACAAAAATTTCTAGTTTTTTAATGTAAAGAGAAAAAAGAGCTTGAAGAATAAAAAATTAGAAAAACAAGTTCTTTATTGAAAATGTTTCTCCTTCAAGGTCTACCCTTGTAAGGTTCTGCCTTACAACATGACACACAACCTTCATTTATAACACTTTTGAAGCTTTTGCTTACATCATTTATTACATCAGAAATCACTAAAACACACTTAATAATGCACCCTTATGATACAAACGACAAGCTAGTATAATATTAATATCAACCGATAATAGGTTCATGATCTGGAGAAAGATTCTGATTTGATAAGTTATCCTAATCATGAATAGTTTAGACTTATAAGACCAACATATAGTCATCATCTACAATAATTTTCATCTCATATAGTTTTAGAAGTTGTGGGATGCCCAAAATTATCTGCTTGAGTTTTTTATTTTTGTACTGCATTTGCAAGTTGTGGAGATGAACAAAATATTGAAGGTCATGCATATCATAGTCAATTTCTTCATCATGATCTATTTCTTTAGGTCATATTTCATTAGAAATAATATTGTTTTTAAGGCACATTGTTTTTTACAAGATTCTAATATCCAGGAGGTTATCTAAGGGGTTTTTATACAGGGAATATGTATGAGTTTTGTATATTGTAGCCTGTGAAAAACTTATAACCAGATTGTCTGCTGAAGCTTTGAAAGGCCTGTGAAATATGAAAATAGAGAACAAATAGGCAAAAACTTGCTTGACAGACTTATTACGATGTATACTATGATATACTTTAATCCATCAAGTTGGGGCCATTTAATTTTTTCTTGTTAGAGAAAAGAGATCCATTATGTGAGGTTATGGAACCAAGTGAGAAAGTTTAAAGTATAGTAACAAGAGTTTGTTGGGCAGGAAGTCTTGAGAAATCTATAAAAAAAGAAATCAATGGAAAACTCGATAACAATATAGTATAGGTGACACAAATACCATAAAGGTAGAGTTTTTTTATGGAAAATCCAAAAGGTTTAAAGGTGAATAGGTGAATGAAAGGATATTTAGGATGAATGTCTAAGTTTTGGAAACAAAAAAAAGATATATCATAATTGAGAAGAAGGTAATCTTGAAGGCTAAACAGTTTGTTTCTAGTCTACAGGTCAAGAGTGTGGTTAAAAATAATTTCTTGAGCAAGAGAAGGTATATTATTTATAGGGAAGACTTGTTTAGGTGGAGGCAAATTGGAAAAGGAGGCCATAAGAATCAGGGAAATGAGTAGTGTTTGTAATTTGGGTGGTCTAATGAACATGTCTTAGATTAAGTTCTTAATTCTTTTTATATGCTCGATGTTGAAGGTGTACTTGGAAAACCACTCTAGTAATTATACATTAAATACTATTGTAAAGTTAGACATTTTATTGAAATTACGAGAATTTAATTTTTTTATGAATTTTGAGTATTTTACCCTTGACACTTTTTTTCCATTTTTTAAAAATAAATTCTTAAAACATAAGAGAAATAAGTGTTTTTATCAAAACTAGCACAATAATAATAATAAAATTAAACTAGCAGTTGAAATAATAATTCTGAAATTAACATAATTTGATTAATTATGCAGGTGACACTTGTGCATCTCACACAAGCAAAAAAAGATTTTTTTAGCCTATATTTTTATTTAGTCTCTTAATTTTTCTATTTAGTAAAATTTAGTTATATTATTATGATCATCTCATCTATTATTTGGTGTAAAAAAATAACTAGAGATTATATTTATTTTTTAATGAAAGTGCTAAAAAATAATTAATTTTTGCCTAAATTAAATAAAAATAATTTTAATTATTGAAATAATCATAATAATAGAACTAAATTATCTAAACATGAAAATTAAAGGAACAAATGAAAGAAAAAAAAGAAGAAGAATAGGCTAGCATAACAACCAAAGCAAGAGAAAGAAACAAAAAAAAAGAGTCAAGAATATTATAACCACAACAACTCTAATATTATTAAAAAAATCTAGACAATACTAATAAAAAAAAGATACTGATTTCCTTAAAGAAAAAGCAGGTCACACATGTCCACTTATATGAATGATTATGAGGTGTTGTATTGAAAAATTATTTTTTTGCTAGGTCAGAAAATATTATTTTTTTAATGTATTAATTTAGAAAAAACACTTAAGAAATAGACACCACAACTCCAAAATTGAGTTTTTGCATACAGTAGTGAAATAATGAGAGTTAAAAGACGATATTTGATATTGTGGAAGAAATTATTTTTTAAAATATTTTTTATTTAAAAATATATTAAAATAATATTTTTTTATAATTTATTTTTAATAACAACACATAAAAATAATAAAAAAATAAAAAATTTATTTAAATAAAAAAAATTAAATGCTATTAAAAAATATATGCAACCACATTTTCAAGCACCCGTACACCCTGGATACTTAAATTTGCAGCAAATGTTCTTCCACGCTACCTATCCACACATTTTCGGAGACTTTAAAACTAATTTTTTATGTATAAATTATGGAAAATCAAATAAATGATCTTCAAATTGTTTCTTACATGGAAGTTTTAAAATTTAAAAAACAATTAAATTTGACTTGCTTTGACTTACTAATCCCTTTTCTAACAAGAAATTAAATCAGCATTTCCAAAAAATAATTCTTTTTAATTCTAATTTTAATCGGTAACGTAGATAACACTACTCATCTTATCATAAATAAAACTTGTTATCTTATCATCTAAGTTAATGCTTTGATGATCATGATTAATCCATTGTGTATGATTTATTTTATTAAAGTAATAATACAATGCATGTATTTTTTTGTAAAAAATATATCAAATTATAATTTTTAACAATTTTTTCAATGTTTTTAGCATCATTATTTTCAAATCTAAATATACCTTGAAAAATAATTTCAAATATATCATTAAATACAATCTAAGTAATGGATGGCAAATAAATCCAGTATTTAGTATTGGAGTGAATAATTTTTTTAATTAAAAATATATAAGTTTTTTAATTTTTTATATTAACACATCAAAATTATTAAAAATACTTGAAAAAAGTAAACTAAAAAACATTTTTGTGAAAGTCACCAAAACAAAGGTCAGAAAATAACACATCACAGCTTTGAACTTTTTATCCTTCGATCACCTGTCAAGCAAACTTCTTGTAAGACCGGTAGTTGCCAAATGCCAACCAAGTTTGTCCAAAAGGTGGTTATGTCCTCTTTTCTTTTCTGTTCTTTTTGTTTTTTATTTATTTTTATTTGTGTCAATGGGAATCCCTATAAAAAAAGAAACTGAATAATGCAAATTGCTCATCAATCCATGACTAAGAAAAAAAGAAAGAAACAAAAAAGATGGACACCATTATACAATTACAGTGAGGACTTTAAAGGGTTTGGAATTTGACTGTTGAACTGGAAAATGGCAAAAACTTGGATATTCAAAGATCACGCAGAGAAAATTGTAGGAGGAAATCATGTCTATACAAGACCAGTTCAAGCCGCAAGTTATAGCCCTTGCATCTGAATAAAGTAATGAACAAAAATCTATAATCAAACCACAAAAATCACTTGATTTTATATTCGAAGCTGACAAGATCATATAAACAGATGAGCCTAAATTCAGTGTCCGTAAAGGTTCATGATTTCACAAATCTAAGGTTAAAAGTGGACAGGGAAATTCTTAGAGATCAGGCAACACATCAAAACACTCCTATCTTGATAAGGAAAAGAATTAAATAATTTCGTGAGGTAGCTAAAAGGTACAAAATATATTATATATTCAAAAAAGGAAACAAAAACCATAAATAAAAAAAGAGGGTGCCCTAGGAACAACTAAAAAAATTGCAATTTATCATGTATATATATACATTTATCAGCAGTAACAGCAAATCTTCAGCCCCTCCACAACCACCCAGAGTTTGGCATTTTATCACCACAACCAACATAAAATAGACAGAATGCCCTTAGTTGCTTCCTCCAACGTTGTCTTCTTCTGTTCCTGGTATGCAGTGAAAGAATAACCAAGAAAAAGGATACGTGGACATATAGTGGTGGAACTTGTAGCACGCTATAATTTGGTCTGGTCTTAAAATGCTCAAATCAAAGAGCAAGAGAGCTGATCTCATCTTCCTTCCACAGCCCTTCGTCGTACTTGTACCACCGCATGAGCCCTTCGTCATTTCTTGTTTTTTGGCACATGATGCAAGTGTCACTCATGCAGGCTAAGAAGTAGCGTAAATGAGAAGCCTTCTCCAGGATAGTTTTATCAAGCTGCCTAACAATTCTTCTTGGTGCGGGAGGTGTTGGGACTTCTATTAGAAGGCAATGCGATATGTTGAGCACTTCTAGGCAACACATATTATCCAAGATGAAGATCAATGTGTCCTTATATAGCATTGAGCATCGAAGGCTCAAAACTTTCAATGTTGGAAGATAGGTAACAAGGGAGGAAGCGAAATAAATGTCAAACGGGCCCATGATCTTGAGTTCACTGAATTTCCTGCAATTAGTAGCAATTGCCTGAACAAGAAGAGGGGAATCCACTATGCTTGGCATTGTCAGGGATTCAAGATCCTTCCACAGCTTAATAGCTTCAATCATTTTATTCTCTACTCGATTCCATGCTGGCAAAACAAGTCTTTTAAGGCGTGGGCACCTGGACAGAGGAAAACAGTCAATTATATCAATGTTATTGTCCCTGGCACAGTGTTGCCTATTCTCCAAAAAGAAGGGGAAAAGTCAAAAAGAGAACAAATACTAAAGACATCCTTGTAACATCCAGTAGCATATAAAATTACACCTATATTCTTACAGCGAGTGGGGAAAAAAATAAAACTTCATCCAAGCTGGCTGCATGGCATCATGTAACTTAAAATTATGTTGGTAATATCTGTGGTTCGTAAACAATTATGATATGATAATTGTTCCTAGGCAATAAAACAGAGGTCCTATAATTTTTTTTTAAAAAAAGATGTTCGCAACAGAAAAAAGTAATTCGTGCTCATTAAAATGCAAATGAAAGGTGATGCTTCCGTGAAAAATTATTTTATGATGAATGTTCCATAATTCCACATTGATCATGTACAATCACAAATAAGTGATTCCCTTTACAGCATAAATTGCTACTAAGAACTACATACACCACATTTAGCATATAAACTATAATCCAGCTGGACAATACTAGTCCACAAACTTTTTCAAGCACTCCACAAACATTTTTAAGCACTCACCCCTTCAAACCATAGTGTTATTTTTACAAGCTGTTTCCAATGGACCCCCAGCAATAACTGCCCCAGCTGAAACATCATTAAACAGTTTTTCATACTTTATTGACATCTTTTAGCTTGGTACTCATATCTTAGGTTTATTTTAAAGTCTTTACAGATACAGAGGACCCCCTTTGCATAAGAAACCAACAATAGTGAATAGCTTGGTTAACCTCTGTATTCTTAGTCTACTAGTTAAGAATCTCAATAGCAAACAGATACAGAGGACCCCCTTTGCATAAGAAACCAACAATAGTGGATAGCTTGGTTAACCTCTGTATTCTTAGTCTACTAGTTAAGAATCTCACAAGAATATAACAGCAATGGGATCTGTGCTAATAACAGCTATGCCAATTATCAGACACTCCAGGGAGAATAAATTACTAAATAGTTTGAATCTAATCAACCATAACCTTACACAGCTTTTTAGCAAAAGAAGCATCATATTATATTTTGATCTACCATTCTACCTCAAAAAAGCCATATCATATCATTAGAAACCATTCACTTCATATTTTCACCATGTTCAATATATTAAAATGCCCTAAAACAACATAAGGGATGCTATTTGTAAGACTACAACATTCCTTCAACCTCATTCATGAGTTTCTCCCTGTTTTTGCCACTATTTGATGCATATATGAATCCTGAAACAAATTGCCATCATTTGCTTTGCTAACAATCAGATGTAAAATCTGCTAATCCACTTTCAGCATTGTACTCACCACTTTACTATCCCAAGAGAGTCACATGTCCAACCACTAGAAACCTGAAAATAAACAATTATAAAAAAGCGCCCAGGAAGTACATCTATAGAATCCCTATTCAGTCGTAAATTCTAGTTTCAACAATACATTTGACCTTTATTTATATCTTCAGACTGCCTTATTACCTCTACTTCAAAGGGGCCAGCACTCCCCTTATTCCAGGCAGCTATATTTTTCACTTGACCCCTTTTTTTTTTTTGTTAAAGTGATTGATAATATAGCAAAAAACTAACCATTCTATGAATTATGACCAAACAAATTACTATCTACAGCTGTGCAGTTTCCATGCTTTAACATTGTTGTGAAAGAAATCATCCTCAACCATATCTAAAGTATTGAACTTGTTCAATTCATCTATAATCCACTACTACCTCCAAAGACACATTGTCACAAGAAGCTTTCAATCTCTATCCAGTAGCTGCACCCAGATATAGAATTACTGAATACCAAGCATTCCAAAAAGTATAACTTAGTCACTCTGAGTCTGGAGTGTGATGCTGCATTGAACAGGGCACATCTCAACTCAAGTCCAAATCTGTGATAACTTACATTTTAACAACACTTCTGGCCTCTATTTTGAAGTTAACAGCTTATTTATACCAGCCAAGTATCAGCTTCAATAATTCAAGGCGGGTTGCTTTAACTTGATACGTTGACAATACCTCTAAAACCACTTCTGTATTTAGCCATAAGCAACCAACTATACAATTTACAAGGTTAAGAAGCCCTTTCATACCAAGCATGTCTTCTAACTCCAAGGGGCAACTATCCCTTTTCTCAGTTCTGGATGGGCATATCCAACTCATCCAATCATACCAGTTGTGACATCATTACTAACTTAAAACTTTTGAGTTCTGACTACCTCATTCTCCTCTGTTGACAGATTTCACCTGATGCCACCACTCCTCAGCTCAGAGAATTTGCGATAGCCTCTCTTGTCATTCCAATGAAATCAGTCACACGGACTTCTCATTAACATTCTTAGATCACTTGCAGTAGCCTCTCTACCCCAAACCAACCTGTAATAAATATATTAACAAGACCTTCATGGGGCACTCAATTACTTTTTGCAACAAGTTTGAGCCACTGAATGAACCAACCATCAGGTGCACATTTTGCCTCTCACATCTCCCCCATTTTTTATTCAATTAGCACATGTCCTTCAATATCTAATCCACCACCTTTTAACAAATTGCATCTTCAAACTCTACTCCCAAATTTGATTAGATTGGTCACAGCAACTCCCATCAATCATCATCAAATACCCCGATCCTAGAATCACCTAGAGTACAACCTCTAGTATTCAAAATTCATCATCTTATACTCTTAGATTGCATATCAATTATAAAACCATCACCATGAAAGGACACAGACATTATCAGAAACTTAAACAAAAATTTAAAACATAAAAATCCACAAATAAAAAGTTACCTTTGAGCAGTATAAGTCAAGTGGTCCTCGCTCACATACAAATTGAAGTGAAAGAACAACGATGTTATATTTTCACGGCTGAGACTTAATGCAATCTTCAAGAATTGAGTCAATGTCTTATCAGAGTCACCATGCACATACACATAAGGTTCTAATGGGATTTTGATGAAATTAGATTTCAACATGGACAAATCAAGAGTTCTCCACAGAAAAGGATCACAAGCAGCCAAGCGCCACGTGCTACAAACATGAGCAATGCCTGAAGTTAATTCAAACACAGTCAATGACTGAAATATCTTCACCAAGATATCAATGTCCATGTCCTCCCATCTCCTCCTCACAGTTCCACACTCTCCTATTTCACGAAATTCCATTGCTTCACAACAAAAGAAAAACCTACAGAAGAGAAACAAAAAGGGAATCGTGAAAAACCACAAGAATTCAAGAATCAATCCCAAAAATCGAATCTTTTGAACTCCAAAAACACAAAGAACCCACAATTCAAGTACAAAAGATCAACTAGAAAAGATTTGGATAGCCCCCCACGTGCATCTACAATTATCTTGTCCAGATCACAACACTCCAAATATTATATCAAGATTAATAATTTATGACCCTCTACGATCCAAAATGGATCTGGGATCTGCAGAAACATAAAAGGGAGTAAGCAGAAGAAGGTAACAGCAAATACCTGGGAAATTGAGACTTCTAAAGTTAGATTCTTGCCCGACTCCAGAGGATAATAATAAATAATGTCTGAAATGGTTAGGTTTTCCTGAAACAAACAGGAAAGAATCAGATGGGAGAGGCTGTAATTTTACCCTAAAAGCCTTGCGTTCATTTCATAACGTTTGCCTCTCTGCAAAATAATCGAACTTTACATGGGACATACAGGTTTGCTTGTAGAGTGGTGACAGACCAATCCTCTTCCTGTCAATTCATGGGGTTAGTGGAGCATTCGGTATCCCTACTTACAGTATCGTTTTATTTTGGTCCCTGTACTATTTGGTACCATTGTTGACATTTGAGATAAAGGAAAGGATCAATTGGATTACAAAAATAACATAAAATTGTCGTAGGAGGAAAAGGTAAGCAGAATAACATAAAATTGCATCGTTTATTGTAAAGAGACTACACGATGCCCAAGAACGTTTTCAACTGTGCTGAGGATCTTAGCAGAATGCGGTGAACGGAGATGGATAAAAGGTCATCTCACCTGCACAGGTTAGCTTACAATTGCAATAAAGGCATATACAGCTGATCAAGGTGCTCCAACCATTGCATAAAGGGTATTAATTTAATCATAGTTTTGGATAATTTCACAGCATCTGCACTCAACTACTCGTAAATTTAAAGAAAGAAAAATCAATTAGCAAGTAAGATTATACCTAAGTGGTGGAAAGAATTTGTTTTTTTTTAGTATCTAGGTTCGAGTCATCCTCGCGGTACATTACTTGTTCATTAGACTTGTAGGATGTTCAGTGGACTGTGGAATTAGTCGTGGTGCGCGTAAACTGAACCGAACACCCCACATAAATAAAAAAAAATCAATTGAAATAAGAGAAAAACTAAGACTCGTAAATTTCTCCTATTTTTTATTATTTATTATGTTTATGTTTGAAATTTTTTTTTTATTAGATATTAATCTAGTTAGTTAAACAAGTATTTCCCTCGTTATCATTATAGCTTGGACAAAAAAAACTTTGAAATATAAAAAATAATATTTAGATTGTAAAAAATATTTTAATATCAGAAATTATAATTTAACTTTTTGTACTTAAAACAAGTTTTAAATTGAATTGCAGAGTTTAAGGTAGTTGATATAGCATAGATTATTTTAAAAAAATATCGTTGTTCATCAATCTATAATTTGAATTATAAACTTTTTTAGATCAAATTAATTTTTATTTTGTTACATAATAAAAAAACAAGAAAATATATTTATTATTAATCCAATATTAAATAATAAAATTTAATAAAATTTTTACATTAAAAAAATAAAATTAAAAAAATATAAAATGCCCGGAAAAAAACCTTAAAGGGCCAATAAAAAAATAGTTCAAGACACGGCATAATATTTTATTTTTTTTGTTCATCCCTTCTATTTCTTTTTTAAAAAATATGCAAACTTAAAAGGAAATATTGTCGCCATTAAAATGATTAAATAAATTTATTTAATGAATAGTTAAACTGACCTACTTCTTTTAATTGTGTTTATAATTATCATCCAAGATCTGATATTTAAAAAAATACATTAAATGATCATATGATATAAAACCAAAATGATACATAAATATAACGAGACACAACCAAGTTCTGATAGATGGATGGTTGGTTTCCTTGAAACTAAAACCTTCATGACTAATACAACTTCTCAAAATCTCCGTAAATTTTTGTTTGTCAAAGAAATGTCTAACCAAAACGCTTGTAAATTGTGATTGTGATGTAAACGGTCAAAAGAATAATGTCAAAAGCTTTACTTAATATCTTAAATTCTTGTCTAAAATGGTTTTTTTACATGATATTTGATGATCAAAGCTCAAATCTCTGTTAAAACCTGAAAAACTTTCACCCAGTTTCTGCTATGGTACCGCAACTTTCTCATGTCCCAAGAAGGCGCGCGCGATGTTCTCCAAACGTCCAAGGCAAACTGAGCTTTCAATCGTGCAAAAGCCAACGTTTTCAGGTTGTTCCATCAATTGAGAAGTGGACTTGCAGAGATGTCAATGATCATGGCATTGCACATGATGTGCACGGTCCCACTTGGCATGGCGATGAAATAGTTCTTCACTCCTGGACTTAGCGTGGATTCAGCTTTGAAATCTCAAGTTTTGGCAGAGAGTTTTTGTAGAATGGGGCCAATTTCTGAGTGATCAAGTTTTTGTAGAATAGAGCTTCTCCATAAAATGCTTATACAACCTGTCCGATAACAGGGGATATTTTAGGTTTCCATCACTATCTTTGAAACCTGCAAATTTCAGTTTTTTCAACTTGACCCACCGATTGTGTAGGAGATCTTCATAAGTGTCAGAAATCCTTTTGCTATGCATGCTGTTTATGGTACCTCATAGAAAGAAAAAGAAATGCTTCTTCACCATTGAACTTTGCAAGGAGGATTCGGCATTGATTATTTACAGACAAGCTGTATCTTAAGATCTCGTTCTCCACATTGGAGCTCTCATTGCTTTGAATTGCAGACTTGGTTTTGCACTAGCATGTCTTATTCTCCTCCTGCATATCTGAAAATTTAGAGAAAGAATTGTCGTTTTTGTACGACGTCACGATGATTATCCTCTTGAATCAAGATTATTGGGAATGATATGGGGGAAATGATAAAGAATTCTTGTCATTTCTCACTTAAAAAAAGGATAAGAATTATTATTTATTAATTTGATCACTAAAAATTCTATATTTAGACACATTTGTTTCTATATTTAGTAAAAATGTTCTGTTTTTTATCGTAACTATTTTTGTAATTATAACCCTTTTAGTGTCAAGTAATGGTAAAATACAATTTTTTATCTTAATCTCATATTTATTTTCCAATAATTATCCTAAACTCAATATGTTACTTTTAATCGTTGGTATATAATAGACATTATCAATAAATTGATAACTTTTATCTGTCAAATTAATCAAAATCATATACTTTTTTTTTATGACAATCTTTGAATGATCCTCAAATGTGACATTACCTTTAATTTTTTTATCAAATTCCATGAACTTATCTTTGGCTTCACACATATAATTGCTAGCTTCATTGTCTAGATACCATATATTCTCTTCATCTTACATTCTCTTATTATGCATTAGTAGTAGGTGGCTTCCTTCTCTTCTTGTATCATAGAATTTGTATTCTCCTCAACCCTTTTAGTAGGACTCTAGCAATCCCTAGTATAATGACATGTTTTTTGACAATTATAATATTTAACTTTTGATTAGTCAAACCTAGATCTTAATTGTCACTGTCAGTGTAACTGATCGACCAATTTACTTCTTATGGTTGACCAGTTAAAATATTATGGCTGTCTTCACCTCATCTTTTAAATTTACCTCTTGTTTCTCTTTTTTTGCTTTGTTCATGTCCTTTATCCCCTTAGGAATACTATATTGTTTTGAAAAAAGTGTCTGTGTACCTACATCCTTTTAAATCTCATTGACTCTTTTTTTATGGGCTTGGAATTTTTCCATGAGATTTTGTATTGAAGGAACATCTACATTTTGCAATTCCTCTATCATGATCACAACATAATGAAACTTTTTTTGCAATGAGCGTATAATCTTCTTTACAACACGTGTCTTTTCCATCTTCTCTTCATATCTTTTCATTTGATTATATATAATTAATATTTTTGCAAAATATTCTGAAATATTTTTTGATTCAAACATGTGTAATTTTTCAAAGTCACCACATAACTTTTATAAACGTATATTTTTCACATTATTAGTTTATTAGTTTGATTCTTGCAAAACTTCCTATGTTTACTTAGCGGTGATTGACCACTATTTTGATAGTGACATCATTCAGATATTAGTGGATAATTGTTAGTGTTTATTGATCTTTCTTTCATGCCTTTTGGATGAAGTCAATGTTGCTTCATTTATAAGCTCCTTAAAGTCCTTTTCAGCTGTCTTTTATACATCTTGAGAACCTAACTAAGTTTTATTAGAATACACTAAGTTTTATAGTTGTTTTTTGTCAGTATAGAGGATACTAAAGTGAAAATTTTAGATTGACGTTGGAAGTAAAGCACGTGTGATATAAAATCAATACAATAATGCAAGGTAAGAACTCAAGAATAAGAAGATTGAGAGGGATGTACACTTTTATTAAGTGTTTCTCTTTAAACTTTCTTTACTATTCTTTCTCTTTTATACTTATAAATAGTGTTAAATTGTAAGTTTTTTTATAGGCATAAATTCCTAAATAATCAAGTAATTAAACTAATATAAAAAAATTATAATATGAATAAAAATTATATTTTATTGATTAAACCGATCAACCGTTTTTAAATTTTTTAGAATGTAAAATCTGGTTTACTTTCACCATCTTGACCATCTACAAATAATATGTTGTGATGGTGACCTTCGTACACTTTATGGCGGATATCATCACTGGACATTCAACATCCATGTCGAATTTGCAGAAGTTAGAAGAGTAGGTGAAACCAGAACTGTAACGATAACGAACTTTGCATTCTGGTCTAGGTTGGCGTTGAATCGGAGAGTATAAAGTTAGAGAATGGTGTGGATGGAATGGGTGATGTATTTTCTGAGGCAAATTAAAGCATGAGTTATGGAGCAAAAACTTGTTTTTGCTGCTGCGGCAGACATGTCTGACCTGAGCAGTGCTTCTGGCAAGCAGAGCAGAGAATTTCATCATCATGCTTTATCTCCATAAGCTTCAAGGGATGCCCATAGCTGAAACGGTGAAACTGTTGCTGACCTCGGGATTCCAGGAAGAGAGGATACAGTGCACTGCTCAGGTCATAAGAAATCATAAGCAAGGCTCACAGAGGTAGGAGTAGAAATCGTAAGAATCGCCACAGGCGTTGCAGTTAGACTCTTCCTTATCGATGCTCAATGTAAGAAGGCAAGGGTGATAAAAGTGCTGGAGTGTTGTTGGCAACTGAAACTCAGCACATGATCGGTGCAGATAGAAGATGCAGAGATCGCAGCCATATAGCGCGCCAGAGGAGGGTTCTCCACATATCCTGCAGGAAACACCATCACCATCATTGTCATAATTATCCTGCCTTTTCTGAGTAGCTACTAATGGACGAAAGTTAGTTAAATGGTGAAGTAGATCTTGACCTTCAATTATGGCCAGTTTCTGAAAAGCACGTTTTAAATCCAGATCGAAGTTGCAATTTTGACAGTGAAAAGAAAACCCAAAATGATTTTCGCTATAGACAAGGCATTTAATTAAAAGGTGATCCATCCCATTTGTCTTAACCAAAGTGAGACGGTGCTGGTGGTAAGGATCTTGGAATTCCTGCGGAAACTCTACACAGGATTCGTGTATGTTGAACGCACATTCGCTGCAAGTGGAGGTTGTGCCCTGGAAGAACTCCCCGCATGCTTCGCATCGAATCAGCACAAACGTCACCTCATTTTTCATCAATGGATGCTGGTGGATCAAACCTCTATACTCCATCTCTGCTTCTCTCTCAAACACAACAACAAAGTTTTTCCTTCTCCGATTTCTTTATTTGTTGGATCTAGTCTGAATGACCTGAGAAGGGATGGCTTCACTGCCTCTCCAATTTTTATTTACTTAGCATAGACCTTTCTCTTGATGGCAGAGTCCCAGTAGGTAACTTCTCACAGCCGACTTGCAATTACAAATAAGAACAGAAAACTCTACTTGCTAATATTATATAATTAACACAAACATTTCCCCTTTCTTGTCTACAAAAGACACTGAAATTTTTAAGAGTAGCTCACAAATCACTAAATTTCTTATATATATATATTTTGAAATAAAATAGCAAGATGGCAAGTCATCTGCTCTGCTTTGTGCATAATTTGATAACCAGAGATCTTTGGAAAAACCTGATGTAGGTTTTTTTGATTAAAAATTTATTTTCAATTTATTTTTAACTCAAAATACTTAGAAAATATATTGAATATCTTGATAAATATATCTATAATCTTAAAAAATCTAAAAAATAACTTAAAAAACCAAAATTAACCTGAATTCAAAACATTCAAACGATCAAATTTATCTTTTTAGTATAAAAAAAACAAAGGAGAAAAATGTAAGTGAAGCTCCTCTTATGAAATAAAACTCATTTGCATCAATTTCAATTTTTTTTGATAGCTGAAATTGTTGTTAATTACTGCTTTTTCTCTCTTCATTAGAATCCAACTATTCTCTCTCTCCTTTTACCAAAAAAAAGAAAAGAAAAATGAGGGAAATAAATTTTGATATTAAAATTTATTATTTGTAAATATAGGGGATCAAAATAATTTTTTTTATGAAATTTGAAGCCACCACCTATTTTATATATCTTTTTCACTATGATTCTCTATCCGATTTTTCTTTACAAAAATGCAATTGAATATTAATTTAAGCTCAAAAGGAATTAATTATATAAAGAAAAAGTTCAAGAATAATTTTTTTTTTCAAAAAGAATCACTATACCAATCTACAATGAATTATAAGAGGATGAACGCTGCCATGTTTTGGCCGCAATTCTTAGTTTTCGTTGATTAATAATTAATTCATAATTGGTAGCTAAAGCTTGATTGCTGTAATTATATTTGTATTCAATCCTTAACAGCTTAGAAATAAGGTACAATTCAACTATAATCCTAGCAGCTGGATACATGAAGAATGCAACCACTGCAGTAGGATACATGAAGAATGCATCCACTGGAGTATCTGTTTTCTCACTCTGGTAAGAATTGTTAGAAAATTTGGAGTATGCTTGTTTGGCTTTGTACATTAAAAAATCAACTGTTAAGGTAAGATGCTTTAATGTTAATTTCAATTGTTTCAGCCATGCTGTCAAGATAAGATGCTTTAATGTTAATTTCAATTGTTTCAGCCATGCACAGCATCGATACTTTCATGAGAATTCATGCTTATCGTTGGCTTTCTTGGCGCCGTATGGTACACTTAACCTTGCATTGCTAGATGTTGAGGATGATTGGAGTATATCATTGGAGAATGCTGTCTTCATGATGCGTTGTTAGTGAATATATATGTCTCAATAGAATATATAATAAAAAAGATCGACAATAAAACATAAAATTCAGGATGTATTATTCACTTTAACTACTCTTTTAAATGTATCATACTCAATTATTTAATTAAATACCTGAAAAGAGAGAAAAGAAAAGAAAAGAAATAATAATAATAATAATAATAATACTGACAATCTAAAGTTCATGATCTTTCGATTTTGAGGAGCCAACTGGGGTTTGAGCCTCTGTTGTATTATGTTCATAAGCTATTTCACTTTCTTTTTCTCCCGCGTTCACACACCGTGCCAAACTACAGAGGAAGAGTAGTTCTTGGAGGCAGCAGTACCATGATCGATGCTGGCGAATTTTTTTTATTTTTATATCATGGATCATACATTGTTGGATGTAATTCATGGATGAGTGATTCCTTTCAATAACTAAACTACGGGAAAAAGTTTGTAAACTCAAGGTTCCATGCGGACTGATACTGCACTTAGATGTAGTTTGAAAAATACAAGAAATAGAAATCAAACAAAAAAGCTATCATCTTTTTCTAATTGATTTTTTATCAGTTGCCTATTTCCAGGTGAGCTATCAGCTCACTTGAAATGCTGACGAAACCTATGCTTTCTTGGTCACGACAGCTAAAAGTTAAAGTTTCATTAAATAGCGTTTCCACGAGACTGATTTTGACCATCATCCAAGCACAAATACCTTCATTTAAAAGAATATTTTTTATCTCAAAGATAGCATGACTGATAGGTGACGAGGGGTGCCTGAGAATGCCGTCAACGGGCTACTTTTACATACAAGTGGTGGTGGTATTGACACCATAGGCCCTATACGGGCCAATAACAATAATAATAATGAAACAAGGGCATCAATGAAAGATGGAAAGAATTACTAGGTCCGCTTTCACAATAATGTGAAGAATTGGCATCCGATTTAGTAATGTCCTTTACTAGACCTTCATCCTCAAATCAACTCTCTCTCTCTTTCCAGACCAGCCTCTCTCTCTCTCTCTCTCTCGGAAGAACAGCCGGTCTAGTTTCAAGGCAGAAAAAAAAAGTACGCTAAAGTTTATTTTCTTCTCCTGTATTTTTTTTTTTGTTCTTAATTACTTCCTTTCTCTTTTAAACTTGAAGCAGTCTAAGAAATTATGTCGATACTATAAACAGAAAAGGTTTGCTCAGGAATGAACAAGAAAGGATAAATGGTATAAAACATTGCATGCAAATATAGTAATATCCTTCCATTTTCAGAGCTATATATATATATAGGTAGCCTTGTTTCCAAGTGAAATTAAATAACAATAATTTTATATTTTATTCTAAAGTATAACTTTGTCAAGGAGAGTTGGAAATATTTTCTCTGTTCTAGAAGATATGAAAATATTCCTTTATAATTAATGTTATCTCTTGTGTAAATATATTTTTTCCCCTTATGTTCCGCTTTAATTATTAAACACACATGGTGTTATTAATTTAATAATATACTTTTACGGAAACTTGTTCCATATTTTGTGAAAATCTTGAGTTGAAGCTGAAAACAAAGACACACACGGAAAGAAAAACTGATAAATTGCAGATCAAATACTAGTTCATGTTCCCTCCTTATTGAATCAATTAACAATAGGCATTTGATGTCAATTATCTCTCTATTTCTATAGTATTATCATGGACAGCTCAATACAAGAGAGTCTTCTTGTGCCGGAAGAACTGAGCAATATTGTTGATCTGAAGACAAGAATTTGGACGGAATCTAAGATGATATGGAAGATTGCATTTCCTGCCATGGTGGCTAGAGTAACTTCATTTGGAATGATTGTGGTGACCCAAGCATTTCTTGGACACATTGGCAAGTTAGAGCTTGCTGCATACGCTCTCCTACAAAGTTTCATAGTGCGATTAATAAATGGCATTTTGGTAGGTTCTTTCTGTCGTCTGCATGCATGCCTCTTTTACTGTTTTGTTTTTTGGCTATACGGAATAATTCGAAAGGGTTAAAAGTAATATACAAGCATCTTCTTTCTAATCTCCATTGTTGTTTCACTTTTCTTATTTATTATCTATGTCCATCCATTTCGCATCTATCCACAGGTCTCTGTCCTCCAAGAGACTGAGAAGGAATATATACAAATCTTTTTTCTTTCTTTTTATTTCATTTTTCATCCTTTTCTTACTTTACTATATATGTTCATCCATTTTGCATCCATCCTATAGTCCCTGTTATTAGGATGCTGACATGTAAATTCAATAAGAAAAAAAAAGAATATAATAAAATAAAAAATAAAATATATAAAAATTTATGTGATTCATTTAATTTAATTATATCTACAGACAAATATAAAAATATTTTACTAAGTAATATAAAAATTATAATATTTTTTTATTAATAGAAAAACAACTGAAATCTCTTTATTATTAGAAGAAAATACCTCTTTTATTCTTTCACAAATATTTTATAATTTTATGAGATTAATTTTCTTTTCTTTTTCTCTCTTATAATGTATATTAAAGCTTAAATGTACTATCTATTTATAGATAAACATCCGTAAAAAATAAATAGTACTAATTGGTGCTATAAGTTACATCAATTACAGCAATTATAGCTATAAGTGAAATCGAATTAGTGTTTGATTAGTTGGCTTCGTACTTATACTTTTAAATTTTTTCAAATGCATTTTTGTTGAAAAGAATTCAATAATTATAATATCGAGTTTTAGCTTTATTATAATATAATCTTTTATTAAATAGATTTTTCAAAACTATCAGTCTTATATTTTTTTTTAACTACATCTATTTAAAACAGTAAAATAATACGTTTTAAATTTAATATTTGTTAAGAAAAAATCAATGGATATCCCAACTTATTTTTAGCATTCAAAGAAGTTATCATAAATCTATCCCAGGTGGAATAATTGTCCCCGTTGAGAGGTTTGGAGACCAGCATCAATTATGCCACTGGGTGAACAGAGTGGTGTGCAGGCTACATGTGAGGCAGCCGGGCCCCTAAAATTTTTAGAACTTGCAAAAGTCCCTAAATTTATTCTGATTTCCATGTGTTCCCTAAAATTTATTACTAAGCCCTCCAAAAACCTTAAATTCAATTTCAATGATATTCTCGAAGCCTAATTGATAATTGTAACTCCCAAAAAATCCTCAAGCCTAACGATAATTCTGATCCCACCAGCATTTTAGTACAATATGAGTAATTTATCTATATGTATATTATAAAATCAGGAATACATGCGAGCTTTTTTCCTGATAACTTCATTTTTTCTTTTCAAAGATAGGCATGTCTAGTGCAACCGAAACTTTGTGTGGACAAGCATTTGGAGCAAGACACCACCACATGATGGGAGTTCATTTGCAACGATCATGGATTGTTGATGGTGCAGCTGCAACAATCTTGCTCCCTCTCGTCACTTTCGCAGCTCCTATTTTCAGACTACTTGGCCAAGAGGAGGATATAGCAATAGCAGCTGGAAACATGTCTCCATGGTTCATTCCCTACGTCTATTATCTTGTGTTTAGCTTGACCATTCAAATGTACTTACAAGCTCAACTAAAAAACGAAGTTGTCGGATGGTTTTCTGCTATTTCCTTTGTTCTTCATATCCTTCTGTCCTGGATATTTGTGAATAAACTTGAGTTAGGAACTGCTGGGGCCATGGGTGCATTGACCATATCTACTTGGTCTTTGGTTATTGGATTGTTAGTGTACATCTTTGGAGGTTGGTGTCCAAATACATGGAAGGGATTTACAAAAGCTGCCTTTGCTGATATCCTGCCTGTAGTAAAGCTCTCCATATCATCCGGTTTCATGATTTGGTGATTTCTAAATTTCACTAACATATTCAATTTCATTTCTATTTATGATAAATTACTATAACCTCTTAAGGTATTGTGAAATTATTAGATCATCCAACTTATTTTTTTAATTTCACACGAACTCCCTTCTCATTTTTTTTATAAATATTATAAGAATTCTCTTTACAATGTTATTATTAAAAATCATAAGTTTATACTAGGGAATTTGTGAGGTTATTGTAATTTATCTTTGCATTCATAATTGGCAGCTAAAGCTTGGTTTGCTCTAATATATAATGTTTATATTCAATCCTTGACAGCTTAGAAATATGGTACAATTCAATTATAATCTTAGCTGCTGGATACATGAAGAATGCCACCACTGCAATATCTGCTTTCTCAATTTGGTAAGTTTTGTTACAAAAATTGGAGTATGCTGCTTTGGCCTTGTACATTCAAAAATCAACTGTTGAAAGAAGATGCTTTAATGTTAATTTCAATTGTTTCAGCCACAACATCCTTGCATGGGAATTCATGCTTAGCGTTGGCTTTCTTGGCGCTGCATGGTACACTTAAGCTAACATACGATTTCCACACTTCTCTTCTTCTCTCTATCTCTTAATTTATGGAGCCGCCTATAAATCCATCACTTGATCACCTTTGAGTAATAATTTTGTGCAGCGTGAGGGTAGCAAATGAGTTGGGAAGGGGAAACGCTAAAGCTGCAAAATTTTCTATCAAGATTATCCTCAGTACATCAATAGTTATTGGAGTTGTGTTTTGGGTTCTGTGTTTAAGCTTTGGTGAAGAAATTTCACACTTTCTTACAAGTGATGAAGAAGTTGCAGAAACTGTGTCCAGCCTTGCTGTGTTGCTTGCTTTCTCCATCTTACTTAATAGTGTTCAACCCGTACTCACAGGCAAGTTTTTCTTTCTTACTCTCTATGGTAAACTAAAATGGTGTGTCAAATCAAAGCTGAATTAGAAAAAGAAAGGGAGCATGAGAGGGGATCAACATATGAAGTTTGATTGATGTTAAGTGCAGTACACTCATCCAGAGGGCCAATACATCTTTGGGACGTCCTTTCGTGGATGCGAACCACATATGGTCCAGACGAGTATAGGCGCTTAAGTGGTCGTGATGGCACTTAGTATAAAAAGGTTGTGAAACAATTCTCATGAGATTCACGATAGAAAAGTATATAATGAGAAAACTCCATGATCCGTCGTTACTTTTTAGCTTAACTCATAATAATTTATAAAGATAAAGATTCTGAACCTTATCAAGGAATTATTTTGACCTGACAAGTTAGTAAATCGGTGAAATGGGACTTCGAAAACGATTTTATAGGCTCTAAAAATAGCGGTTTCTTGATCTTATTGTTTTGTTTTTCCCCCACCGGTCTAGGTGTGGCTGTTGGAGCTGGTGTGCAAAGTGTGGTTGCATTTGTGAACTTGGGTAGCTATTATATAATTGGGCTACCTGCCGGGATTCTACTCGGATATGTGGTACATCTTGAAGTTCAAGTAAGTATGACTTATACCCAATATCAAGCGCATTAGACGTCCCTGTTTATTTTTTCATACCCTCTCCCTGCCTTCGATTGGAAACCACTGTTTTATGAACACAGATTCATAATGTTTGCTACGTACAGGGTTTATGGATAGGATTATTGAGTGGAGTTGTAGTGCAAACACTTATACTCTCCTACATTATCTGGAGGACTGATTGGGATGAGCAGGTTTGTTAATGAAAGTGAACCTTCTCTGCATTATTTATAGAATTTAAACTACTATATGTATATATATGTGTGTGTATATATAATTACCCTTTCTTGTAGGTGAACAAGGCATCTGAACGTCTTAGACGCTGGTTTTTAAAATCGGAGAAAGATGCCATTGAGAGCTCCACTCCTGCTTGAGACGCTTTTGTGCAGATCTATTTTATACGTTGGGACAACATAAGAATGATTTAACCTTATTACTATATTAATTTGAAGATTCTTGAGTTCAATAAATCAAAGACACGGTACATTTAATTTTCTTAGTGTGAATCTATTTTGATGTTCTCAAGATCTGAATCTACACCTATGAAGTTATGACGTAGTTTCCTATTTCAAATCACTATACTGATCTTCATGTATTTATGTTGTTACCAAGTCATGACGCAGAAAAATGTCCATTCACAACACAGTCTCGAGCCTCCTTCAAAACCCTTAAAGAATACAATAATCCTGCATTCAATTCTTCGACCTATCGTTTCAAAGGCAAATGAAAATCATTCTACCAAGTCTTTTTTTTTTATAATAATCCAAAGATTTATAAAAAAAACTCATGCTACCCAATTAGAGGATAGCCACCATGAAAAGATAAAGTTTTTACATAAAGAAGTACCAAAACAGAAGAGAAAGAGAAACAAAAAAGGCCCTACAACATAGTACCATACAAACATTTAGCGTCGTCTATTGATATTCGTCCGGTTTCGAATATAGTCAATACTAATATAAAGATCATTACATATGTAAGAAAAATGAGATTCACAATTTCAACTTAGTAGATAATCGATGGAGTGTCAGGGAAAAGCAGGGAAAAGCACAAGTCCAAATCTAGTCTAACATCATAGAAAACCAAATTATTTCTGATTAACCATATGCTCCAAGGAATACCAGAAGAGAGTAGTTCCAATGCCTTCCTTTGAAACTTGCCTATAATCATCAGTGGTCATTGATGCAGCAGCTTATCAAGTATGTGTGGAACATTCTAACAGATCCCTCACCACGAAAAAAAATTGGTTCATAAATTCCATATAAATTGACAGTGAATCAATATATGACTTCAGGTTTCTATAACGTTAAATAGAATGGGAAAAATGACTGATCCAAGAATGAAAGATGTCAACAATATAAGAAAGATCTTGTACACAGTTTATGTTGAATGACCAACCAAATAAAAGTTCGAATCTTTGAAGGAGCCACAAACTTCCAAGCTTGTATCTGAAAAGAGCATGATCCACTACACTCTATGCTATGAATAAAAGCGGTACAAGATTTCATTGTAGATTTTTCATCTTTGCAAAGAGTCCATACCTTCAAATCTGGTTTAGTATGATAAAGCTGTACCTCTTGAAGAACCTGATGCGAAGACATTTCCTGCTCAATTTAAAAAATTCTTAAGAGTTAGCCTCCATTTGATATTCCACTCTCAATTACCATTCACCCGTGATCTTATTTTTGAAATTGTTGTTGTTGGTGAACTCGAGATCTTATATAATATCGGAAACATAATTTTCTGAGAAGTCCCTCCTAACCATCTATTACTCTAAAAAGAAATAGGTAGCCCATTTCACACCACATCTAGCGCCACCTCGCAATGCTTCAAAAGTAAGGTCAACAGGCTGAATGAGAGAAACGATTCATTGCCGCTTGCTAAAAATAGAAAGACTATTTTCAAAGATAGGTCTATATTTTTTGCATACAACCTCCTTCCATTTAGCTTGAGGCGTTAAGCTTAGCCTCCACAACCACTTGAATGACATAGCTTTGTTCCTACCTTGCATATAACACGTTGTTTGGTAACAGTACCAGTCCATAGAAATCGATTTTGAATAGAAGTTAAAATTTTATAAACTCCTTTTGTCATTAAGAAAAATGTCAAAAAATAAAAGAGGCAGGGAGTTAAAGACACTCTTAATTAGACAGATTCTCCCAGCAAAGCTAAACAGTTTTCCTTTCCATGATGAAAGTCTACTACAAAATTTTGTTATAACCGGCTTCCAGGTAGATATTCTATTAGGATTAGCTCCCAACAGCATGCCAAGATATATATACAATAGGTATCATACTTCCCCCCCTAGAGCTCTGCAAATCATGAACCACTTTATTGGCTATCATAAAAGCATCAATAATCTGACTCCCAGCAATAAAGGCGGTCTGACTATCGCTAATTAGATCCTGGATGACATGCTTGAGTCTGTTGGAAAGAAGTTTGGCAACAACTTTACAGAGACGATTTATCGAAATAATTGGCCTATAATCTGAAAATGAGATGGAAACTTAGTCTATGGCAGCAAAGTGACATAAGCAAGATTAAGTCCTTTCGAGAATGTTGTTGTTGTGAAGAAATCATTAACCAAATTCAATAAGTCATGACAGATCAATCCCCAAGCTTTTCTGTAGAATTTAAAGTTGAAATCATCTGGTCCAAGACTGTTTGAACCATCACGGTCCCGGAAGGATGCTTTGAGTTCTTCCATTGTCACCGCACGCTCTAGCCATACAGAATTTTCTTCCATCAAATGCTTAAAAACCAGAGGTCCCATAGTTGCACGATTTAATGAAGACTGAGCGAAAAGGCCAGAATAATAGCCAATGGCAGCTTTCTTAATAGACGGTGCTGTGGTATAGTTGCTGCCATTGTAAGTTATCGCAGAGAGATAAGTACGTATATGTCTGAAACTAGCAACCATATGGAAGAACTTTGTATTACGGTCACCGAATTTGCACCAGTTTTGTCTTGACCTTTAACGCCAAATACTCTCAGTATGCTTACTAACAACCCATATTTCTCTAATTATCTCACCTAACACGGATGACTCCTCTGCTATCAAAGATACTTTCGGCCTGCTTGTTTTCTGATTCTGGAATTCTGATGGTTACAATAAGCAGCCAACTTCTTGGTTACCAAAATGCTCACGGTTCCATAGGCGAAGATGCATAGCAAGGTAGCTTAGTTTCTTAAGAAACATGAAAGGGCCTAGAAACTCAACACACCTAGCTTCTCACAACGTTGTCAGAGTAGCCATGAAATAGGGATGAGATAACCAACAATCTAAAAAACAAAAAAGGCTTCCAGTTTGTATCCTTCTCTGAGATCTTAGAAGCAATTGGCAATGATCTGAAGTCCTCTAGGCAGACACCGTAGCAGCAGACCAGCAAACACCAGATGACAGATAAGAGAGGAGAAAGCACGATCAATGCGACTCATTAATCCCCTATGAAACCATGTATAATGTTAACCAACTAGAGGGAACTCAATTAAGTCACAATTTTGTAAGAACAATTTGAATGAATTGGAACCTGCAAGATTTAAAAATTTACTGTTGCGGTCACTTGTGAATAAAGTCTCGTTAAAATCCCCAGTCAAGAACCATGGGACATCAAAAGCTGACTTCAAAAGAATTAAATCCCTCCATAGACGCCTACGTAGTTGAACTAAGCAGGGAGCATAAACACCAACCACAACACAGTTAAAATTAGTAGCCATATGTTGTCCATACAAAGCAATCCAGCCAGAGCCATATTCTACAAATTGAACATTGAACTTAGAATTGTCCCAAATTGCAAGCAAACCACCCGAAAGACCTTCTGAATCAATTACCCACCATTTAACTTCCTTCCCATTCCACATCGTATAAATCAGACTGCATGTACAGTTAGACATTTTGGTTTCCAACAGAAAACAAACTTTCACGTCACGGTTCTACAGACCTTAGAAATAGCCTTAGGTTTCACAGTTATTCCTAAGGCACATAATTTCCAAGAGAAGACCTTTATTGGAAGAGACAAAATAAATCTGATGAGTTAGCTTCTGAAGAAAGCTTACTGTATAGCATTCCAATCTGCAACCTCCCTTGCCATTTGAGTTTTGATGTCCTCTGTGAATTGTTCCAACGTGGTTCCCCTACCAATGTCCAGAATACTGCCAAATACGACCATATTACAGACCTCATCATCCATTGTTGTTGCATCTGCATTTGTCATTGCCTGTCCCTGTTGGCATCTGAAATTTCCCATACGAATTGCCGCATCCATATAGGACGTCTTTGTTGTCTCTGCCGTGTGTTGTAGGCTTCTTATATGGGAGAGAAGTCTTTGCCTTCGCTGTGTACTTCTTGAAATGAAAAGAATTTCAATCAATAATTATAGAGTTGTTATAGAAATTCCTAAATTATAGAGAGAAAAAATAAAATTATCAATCTTAATATTTGATTTTAAAAAAATTAAAAACACAAAATATTTTTTTAAATTAAATAAAAATAAAAATAACTAAATAAATAAATAAATTCCTCTAAAAATTCTCTTACATCGTAATCGAGTTCAAATTATTATTGTCTTGATATCATGTATATTCTGCCATGACTCTCTAATCCTTTTTCTTTCTTAGCTTCATATATAAAATAATTTTAAATATAAATTTTAATCTATTCATATTAAAATTTACACAAAAAAAATATTTGACAAATTATTTTGCTTTTATTGACTTAAGTGTAATGAATTTCAAATCTTAAATTTGCTTTATTAACATGTGTTATATCCACATAACCCTTAAATAGATTTACTTTTGTAATAATACTAAATTTGTAATAAAAAGGTTCTATTATGCATGTTAAATCAATATTTTTTTTATTAACCATTTTTTATATTTTTTTTGCACTCAATCTTTAGCTTATTAATGAGGATATTATTGATAATATTGTCATTGTCACTACAATAATTTTTTATGCTATCATTATAATCATAATAATTATTAAAATAAACATTATAAATTGATAGAAAATATCAACTTATATCTATCTTATCATAAATGAAATTATCAAAATCTTCATGATACTTCTCTCAATTAAAAAACCATGTCCTCTACTTTTTTTTTCTTTGAAATGGGTTCTTAAAACTAGTCATGAATTCCTAATCACTTTTCTCTCGATACCTTAGGCTCTTTATCAATTCTATTATATGTCTCTCTATATTTTTTTATTATTACTTTCTAAACATCCATTTCCTAAAAGAAAAACTCTTCATTAGCTCCTATAAGCATATTTTGTTCTATAATTTTTTATATCCATGATTATTCAATAATACATAATAACCAATTAATAGAAATTATTACGTTCTGATACCGATTGATACAACTATAATACTAATAAATACTAATAAAAATAAATATTTATAAAAATAGACAACGACAATAATAATACAAGAAAGACAACAAGTACAAGCAATACAAAATTCGGTTGAAAAAAATCATCATACCAAAAAAAACATAATTTAAAATTTTATTATTGGATTTTTTCTTTTAAATAATCTTTTAAAATGCAAGCTAAACAATATTATCCATGTCAGTCCTAGGTGTATCTTAAAAGGAAAGAATCTCACTCAATAATTATAGAGTTATATATAAGGATTCCTAAATTAAATAGAAGAAAAAAACAAAATTATCAGTTTTAATATTTTATCTCTTAAACTAAATACAAAAAATATAAAAATACCATAAAATCAAATATTTTTAAAATTAAATCTAAAAAAAACTAATTAAAAAAAACAAAAATATCGGTTAAAAATCCCCATACATCAATATTGATGTTCGAGTTCTGTATTAAATCTATGGACTTATCCTTCTACCATCTCTCTTTGTATCCATTATTAGGTTTGAAAACCATTCTGAAACATTCCTTTATCCATTATTAGGTTAGAAAACCATTCAGAAACATTACTGCTGGCAGTCTAAAAATCAGTAGCAATTTAGTGTGGTCTGGTCAATTTAACCATAATTTATTTCTAGATAGGTCAAAAAATTATAGAAATGTAAAAATAGAGCGAATAAATTCAATTATTGGTTCTGGCAGCAGCTTTTCTTTTTAATCAAAATGCTTATCTCAATTGCTACCCTTATTTTCTGACAATGGGGAGGAGAAAAGTAGTCATTTGCAGTTTAAAAATTCAGCTACCCAGTAACCTTAATCATGAGCTCCCCCGTCAAGTCTGTCTAATAGATTTAACCGAGTTAATTCTCATCTGGTTAAATATAAAATCCAACTCAAGTCAAAGTGTTAGTTTATCGAGTACTTAAGGGTTTAATAACACCTGCAAGCAGCCTAAAACTCTAGTTTATTTTCTTGCTCATGTAGAGACATTAGTCAAACATGTAACGATGTATTCTTTTAACTCTTTCACAGGGTCTATGGATGGGATTGTTGAGTGGAGTTAAGTGCAAACACTTATTTTGTCCTTCATTACATGGAGGACTGATTGGGATGAACAGGTTTGTAGAAAAGAAAGTAAATATTCTATACAGGTAGAACTCAAAATAATATATATGTAGTCAATAACAAGTATCTTTTCTCGTAGGTGGACAAGGCATCTGAACGTCTCAGGTGCTGGTTTTTCAATCCCCGAAAGGATTCCCATGAGCTCTGCAGCACTGCTGCTTAAGACAAATGAACTACATTTGCTCATTTCGATGTCTTGAAATCAACTGATTTCTGGACAACTGTCCTGCCATAGTTTTTCCAACCAATTATGATCATCTCTTTTGTATTACTGATGATCTATATATTGGTGTAGCTGTGGTTTTTACAAGTAATTTTAGATTTGAAATAGAACTCCTACTTTTGGCTATTATATATAGTTTTGGCTGTAATTATAACAAGCCTTTGATAATACATTTGCCGTTAACTAGGAAAACAACACAAAAGCACAGTAAGAATTTCAGGAGGAGAATACTTGCACTTATAAATGAAATTATTCTGTGATAATCTTGCTTTCTGTTTTATGTAGATATTGCCTCATTTGCAATCAAACTTACTATATGAGGAAACAATAGAAGCATTTGTGGCTGTATAAAGGCACAGGATACAAACATGGGAGAAGAATGTGACCCCATATTCTTCATCTTAACTTTGAGTCCAAGATAATAAGTGTCAGAAGTTTTGAATCAAAGATCGAATAGTAAGATTGAAGATGAATGAGGATGTTGGCGATCAAGATCCATCGCCATAAGAAGTGTCAGAAGTTTTGAATCAAAGATCGCATAGTAAGATTGAAGATGAATGAGGATGTTGACAATCAAGATCCATCGCCTACAAAGAAAATTAGAAAGGAGATGATCAATATGCTAAGATCGGTTGCCATCCAGATTTATTGCCATTTTCGAGTTAAATATTTACCTGCCTCAATTGAGCATTGTTAGTAAGGGATTAAAGATTCCTGCACCAGAGTGCCTGATAAATAAAATGGTACCAATTCAATGTATATGGAGAATTTAAAAGTTTATGAATATTACCTGGAGTGATGGAGTTTGACTAGGTGAGTCTTGCTAGTCAGCATAAAAATTTGATTGTCGGTACATGTTAGGATTATCTTGATGGTCCATACCTACTGGATTCTGCAGCGGGTACTTGCACTGAACCACCTGATTGGCCTCAAAATTATACACGCCCTGCACGATACACATGAAAGGATCGTTCAATTTTAGCTCAGTCATGGGCGGATCCAAGTAATTATGGTTAGAATAACCTGCAAAAGAGGACTGTGAGGTGGGCCTTCAGTAGTAACACATGCTTGTGGAGGACTTGAAATGCCGTTGATGGTATTAGGGGAGGGTGGTTGTGCAAACTGAAATCTTTTTTTCTGACAGCCTTTTCCAACCACATTTTTCAGTTGATGTCTATCAGGAACATCACTCTGCCTTTCTTTTGATCCCTCAACTCTGTTGTCCTCTCCTGGATCCTCGATTGCCTTCTCATTCAAGAACAACTCTGCATTTTCACTTTCGTGACCATTCACTATGGTGCTACTTGAATTGATACCATGACCCTCATCAGGTTTCAACATCAAGATCTTCTCCACACCTTCAATTAACTCATCTAGTTTTCTTAAGGCAAACTGAAATGCATCTTCTGATTCAGCTGCCCTGGCTGACATTTTCAATATGTTGCGGCACAAATCTTTGTAACGGTTAGCTACAACCAACTTTGGGTTTTCTTGAGCAGTGAAATCATTGCTATTTCTTGCTCTTCCTAGCCTTGCATAATTTGTCCATCTCTTCAAGATATATCGAGATGGAACCATCTTTATGTTCCGATCATCAAGAACTTTCAAAGTATGGCCACATAAAAATCCTACATTCTCAAATTTCATGCAATTGCAAACTACTGTGTCATCTGTTGAATTGATTGTGACTGTATATTCTTGAGTCCGTCCAAATGTTTTGACTTTGTATTCAAGCAAAAATCCATTCTCATTGCACTGGCTGACTACGACATTTAAACACTTCTCATATTCCTTCTGAAATATTTCAAATGCCTTTGGCGTATAAATAGCACTTGCATGCTTTAGCAAAACTACATTACCTAGTAACCTTGGCATGCATCTAGTCATTTCATCATTAGCATGTTTTTCTTTGACACGTTGCTCATTTACCACCCTTTCAAAAATCTTGAAAATCTGAAGCGCATCATCTTGGTCAGAGTTTAGATAACTTCTCAAGTTATTAGATAAATCTTCAACCACATGTGAGCCTTTCATGTTAAGAAAAAATGTGTTACTGCCATATACCATGGACCACTTCTCTCTTTCTCTAAACATCCATCTTAGCCACTCATTTTGTTGAAGGCCGTATTTGTCCAGCAGACTCTCCCAAGCATGAACAAAAGCCTCCTCGTAATTGGAGTCATAAATACAACTTCGAAAGTCACTAGAAAAGGATTCAATATCCTCCACTGAATGGCTAAGATGCTTAAGAACATTCTGATACATCTGCCAGACACAGATACGATGGCTCGTTTCTGGTAAAATTGAATTGACTGCTTCCACTATTGCTGCATCTTGATCTGTAAGAATGACTTTTGGCTTCTTTCCAGACATTGCCTCTAGAAATGTATTAAACAGCCACTTGAGCGATTCAACAGTGTCATCGAATAAAAGTGCAGCAGCAAAAATTATTGCTTGATTGTGATGGTTCACTCCAATGAACTGTACAAACGGCTGAAGATCTTTATTTGTTCGGTAAATAGTGTCCAAACAAACCACATCACCAAAATGGTCATAATCCACTACCATTTTATCGTCAGCCCAGAATATGTTACTTACTTTGTCATCAATATCAACCTGAATGCCATGAATAAATGATGGGTTTTCAATGTGCTGCCTATGAAAATAACGCAACAAACGTCCTGCTTCCCCTTCCTTCATATCTCTAATCCTTTCAGACCGTAGGGAATTTTCAAAATCCATGGCCAGATAATCAAGAGATTGACAAACTTCAATTCGTCTGTTCATCAGTCCATAGGTTGAGCTTGATTCTGTCCCTGTATACAAGTCAGCTTTGGCAGCTTGATCAACAAATAACTCCCTCTGTAATAGCTGTGTGTCAGCATTATTTGGGTCTATATTATCATGATTATGCTCTGCTTCAAAATGTGTCACTCTGTATCTACCATCAGGCTGGCGAGTGACAATCATGTGAGCCAAGCAACCAGTTCTTGTTTCTTTATGACGCTTCTTCACATTAAGGTCTCTCTTGTCTTTCCGCCGATAACCTTCCTTAGAGCAAGTAAACTTTCTAGACACCACTAGACCATGCACTTTACTCCTATTTAACCAATCTTTTCGAACACTGAAGCCTACCACTTCAGCATACTTGCTGTAAATTCTGTAAGCATGTTCTTCAGATTCAAACTCTGTACCAATTTTTAGTAACCCACCCCTATAAGCATCATCTTTTGATGAAGCACTGAGTTGAGATGCATTTACCAGTGCAGAATTTGAACTACAACAGTCCTGATCTATGTTCAAGTCCATCTTATCTGACGTTGGAAGTCCAATTCCATGCTGGCATCATAAGGAGTACCTAATTAATCACCATCTCTACTCATTGATATTCTAGAAACAGGAAGAAATAAGGACAACATAGACACATTATAGAAAACAAAGACAAAACAACAATCATTACTTCACTTTGACAGGCATCACAACTGACAAATCCATCAAAATTCTTAAACTACAATCATCATCTGCCTATGAAAATGCGCGACAAATACAAGCAAATTTGCATTCATTTCAACGTAATAATCGCATTTAAATTTTTTAAAGTCATTAAAAGTCCCTTACCTAAGAAATTAAATACTAGACACTGTATTCATTGAATTATTTGTTGAAAAATATACTCCATAAAATGCCACTGTCGGTGAACTTACCAGTGCTAATATAAAAAAAATAACACGCAAAAATAAAGTTTCTCTTGAATTGAAACTAACAACTACACAACACAATATACACACAAAAGGTTCCCCAAAGCTCAAAACCGGCATTGTTTTTACACTAAAAACAAACCCATTTCTCTAAACTAAATTATGAAACTAGAAACCCACAAAAGTCAAGAGTCTTGATTGATACTAAGCTACATTTCTATAAATTACAGGGCATGGAAAGATAGAGATACAGTGTGTACCTTTAGTAGGGTTTTCGAGGTCTCAAAGCTTCATATCCAACAGGTTCTTGTTATATAGAGGAAGAGGAGGAGAGGGATTTGAGATTGTACGGCAAAGTTCATGTTTATGAGTCACTTCAGTACTTGTCTGGAACAGCATGCCATCCCATCCCAATTCCCATCAGTGGAATCCCCTCCAGGTGCCCGAGTGCTCGGGCCTAAATATAATTTGTAAGAGTTTTGGGACGTTGATGCAATTTATCCAAAAACTCTTTTCGTTTTTTTTTTCCCCTTTTTTTATTAGCGAGATATATTGAGTTTTAGAAAGTGAAAATTAAAATTGAATTTATTGCGAATTTTGTAAATTGATTAAAGTTATTTGTGAACTATTGAATTGAATAAAATCATAAGTATACGTGATTAAAAATAATTTTTGACGTAGGTTTAATTAATATTTTACTTTTGAGTGAAAATTAGAATTTTTAACTTCATACTTATTAATCGTAAGTAACATTATCCTTATTTTGAAAAAAGAAAAAAGAATTATTTATAAAGATTAACTTTTTCATTATTAATTAAAGTAAAACTTATATATATAAAAATCATGCTAAATGCAATTAAAGTTCCTTTGATTAAAATTCAAATAAATCATTCATATGTAAAATAATTAATTTATCAAAAAATAAATAAAGAAATTGCGGTCTCTAAATGAGAAGAACTTAGCATTCTCTAAAGGAAATATTTTTATTTAAGAGAAATTGTTTTTTAAAACACCCCACTTAACCTGTACAAACAAAGTTTTGGTGAGGATTTCAACAAATTCAAGCATTTAGGAAGTTGTTGCACAATTTTGTAGCTATTATATCTTATTTAATATAATAATTCATCTGATTCAAGACTTTGATTAATTTTTGTCTGTTTATTTAATATAATAATTCATCTGATTCAAGCTATTATAAAATTCTTAGACAATATTTAGTTATTATTTAAGAACAAAAAAATAAAAATAGTAGAGGTAGAGAGAACAATTCTCCGTGTACATGATACAAAAATTAATTTTAAAACTATTTTAAAGAAAAAATTATTTATTTCATGTCTATATTTTTTTCATTTCTTTTACATGTATTCCTCAATGATAATAAAATTTATTTATTTATCTGTCTATCATAATCTTCCTGGATTTGTTAGTAAATATATGTATACATATAGCGAGAGAGAGAGAGAGAGAGAGAGAGAGAGAGAGAGAGAGAGAGAGAGAGAGAGAGAGAGAGAGAGCTATTATGATCCAAGTAATAGAGAATTCATGCTTAGGTATGAACGTTGGCTCTTTGCATGTACGATGGATCATATCATATATTTTTGTTGCTAGGAATTGTTGGTCTGTGGAATAAAATTGGCACTTGCTATTAATTAAGATGTTAATACTGTTTCTTATCTATAATAATTTAATTCTTGAAGTTTGATTCATTAAGTTCATACCTACTAGTTACCGCAAGTGAGAGGTGGAAGATTGCATTGAGAAGGAAGGCGAGACGAGATCTGGAGAGTGCTGCAGAGGCAGTCATGTTGCACTGCCTCTAGTGCATTACAACACCCTGCACTCGGGTTGGTGTTAGCAGCACGAGGTACCGCAAATGGTGCACACACATTTAGGTTATTGAGCTGGGATGTGCATTGCTGCGAGGGAGCCAGTTGAGTCTGCACTGCAAGTGCAGTGAGCAAGAGAAGCACTGCTACTGGGGAGCTAAGGGATTTGAGTGCTGCCATATTTGATTATCTAATTTCTACTGATTAGATTTCAAATGCTTTTGTGCTTGCTAGCTTACTTTGATGTCTTATGTTTTCTAGCTTTTGCCTTATTTATAGATAAAGTTTGGTGACACGACGAAAAGATTGATGTCTTCTCCCAAGTGCAGGAGTGTCGAAGTAATAAATAACCCGGCAAGACCGGGGTCGAACCACAGGGAGGTTAATTGTATAAATTATAAACAACAATTATAAAACAACAATAACAACAACAACAATAGTAATAATAATAATAATAATAATAATAATAATAAAGAAAGAGAAGAAGAAGAAGATGATGATGATGAGAACTTGGAGATGGAAAATTAATGTAAGGATTAAACAATAATAATAACAAATGTCAAGGTTAGAGGTTCCACTAATGGTATATCAAACAAGTATAGTATAAACTCTTATTATTGAATTGGAAACCACACACAAAGGAGGTTCCAATCAGATTATATATTGTTAACATGATTACATTAGTCATCTTATTCAATTAAAGCTAATACTTGTAAATCTCGTCAAGCATTCATGATTATAACTTATGTTAACAACAAATCAAGTTCCTTTCATAGCTCAGGTGTCGGTTATACCATACATTATGGGCTATGAAAGTGCCAAGCATTTGTTGTACCAAGTGTTATACAACATAAATCAAGATTAGTCATTTAACAAGCAAAGTATTAAAGAGTGAACAAGATAACAAATATAAAACATGTTAGTATCAAACATTAAAGTCCATATTAAGTTTACATTATATTTATTCTCACACCATTAGTGTAACCTTTTCACCTTGACATAATTAACTTAGCTAGACATAATGAAAGAAAGAAAAATAAATAAACAAAATAACAACATAAAAGTTAACTAAGTAAAGGAAAGGAAATGAAAGGCATAAACTTAATATTAATGAAAACAAAGCATAAAAAATTACAAAAAATACAAAGAGAGAAAAGAAGAGCATGATCTTGATCTGGAAACCAAGATGCCTAAATGCATGGCAAATGTCTCCTTTTATAGGCCAAAATTGGGAACTATTGATTTGATGACTAATTGATAAGTGGGTGGCCAACTTTTGACTTGGTGACAATCCTTATCTTCTCTTGTCTGCCCAAAACGTCATTGATAACGTCAAAACTGGAGCCAGGTGCAAACATGAAAGTTGTAGGCAATTGTCTCAGCTTTCTTGTGTAAAAAATTCAGCTCATTTGGACTTCTAGAACTCCAGATATGGCCAAAATACCGAACAGTGCTCGGGCTGGAAGACAGATTCGGGCTTCTTTGTTGTTGCTACAATTTGGACTTGATAATGGCCTTTTTAGATCTTGGGCTCCATATGAAAGTTCTAGGCCTATGTCTTACCTTTCCATCCATATAAATTGGACCTAAATCTGAGATCTGTAGCTCCAGATATAACCCAATTACCGAACAGTGTTCCGGTTTGGATTGCACCGACATCTCTTTTCTAAGTTTGACCATCTCTTTATCCATGCAATTTAAGTTCTTCAAGTCATCAATCAATCCTTTCATTTATGTGATAGACCTGCATTAAAAATAGACATTTACCACAAATTATAGGTATCTTATCTTATTAGATACATTATTATAAAACATGCTTTGGTTAAGGAGTTATTGATACTTCAAGTGCAAAATGATGATATAAAACCATGATAAAAATGCACTTTTAAGTACTAATCATTTGGCCACATAGAGTTGATTTCTTACATGACTAACCTATTACAAATTTTGAGCTCATAACAACTGTGTTGGATTCAATGTAGTTAGATCATCAGATTTATTTGTAAAAATCTGGCCAGTACAGGAAATATTCTCGCTTCGGTGCATTTCCATTTCATTGATAAAAGTAAATACAAAAAATTTGAATCAAGAGGGCTAGCCGGCGAGGCTCTTCTGTGTCCAATTCAAGAGGAGTAACATAATTTGGAGAGTTCTGATTTGGTCAAGGTTTAACTATTCTAAGAAACATGTTTGAGAGTAAAAAATAAGAACAATATCTAAGAATAAGAAAACAAAAAAGTGGAAATTAATAGCTCATTAAGAAGATGTGGTGGACTCTTTCTGATGATCAGCAGGAGCTGTCCAGTAAGACTTGACAGCAAAAAGAAGTTTTTCCCTTTGATGAGGTCCATCTTCATGATCAACAATTCGACTGTCCCAGTTCAATCTATCAGTTATTTTCTTAATCTTCACCAACACATCAACATCATCTCTTAATATTACATTTCCTTCAGGTCTCAGAATTCTATCCATCTCTAGCAAAATATCTTCCATTTCACATCTGCAACAAAAATTCATGTCAGAAATCAGTAATTCCTTTTTTTTTTACACAATTCTATATCCTATATATGAAGAAAAACTAATAAGCGAATATTTTCTGTCCCCACATGACCATGTGTTAGGTATTTCTTGCATATATATATATATAACAATGTTATTGACCATGATTCTGCATATTTTAGAACAGAAAAGGCCGCAGAAAAATTTCACTAAATAATTCCTTACCTGTCGTCATAGAGATTAAATACAGAATCAGCATGGATGAAGTCATAAGTTCTTGGATAAGTAGACATTGCTTCACACCTGTAAAAGAAATTGAAATCATTACACCTCAATTCAATTTTAATAGCAACAAATTAAACATTAGTGTGTGTTCTGCTTACCAATCCTGATATGTTCCAATTAATCCTCGCTCGTAAATTACTCCAAGAGTGTTAGCACTGGCTTGGACAGGAACCACGTTCATAACCCAAAGTGGGTCATTTATAAGAGCAGCAGCAAATCCACCCAAGTAAGCATTCATGTCCAAAATGTTCCGGTACCTTCCTGGTTTTTCTAATTGGTTATTTACAGCTTTATAATATGACACTCTCCTATTCCAAAGTGCTGTATCTTTTTGGAAAGTTTCAGCTGTAATCCCTTCCAAAGTTCCTCTACTAATTCTTGGGGGTACAGCATTCAATCTCTCAGGCCATTTCGGCAATTCTCCGCCGGCAACGTCTTGGTTGGTAGATACCTCAGGCAAGTTAGTCAGACAAGTCTCCATGTTTGTGTACCTGAAAAAAAAATAGAATGGAATTCCCATTAGTCAAGTGTTAAAACCATACCACACAAGAAAAATGTACATTTCTTCGGATTGCAAAGAGTATGTACCAGGCTTTGTCAGGATCATGAGCAGGGCAGAACGGTGGGTTTTGTGTGATTTTCCTGTTAACTTTACAATTCAAGTGATTGATTGGCTTTTGCCATATGGCAATGTCATCTTTCTCCACCAACTTTTTCCAACATAAGCTATTAGCCACGGTCTCAATTTTGTTCTGTTCATCATTCAAATCATCTTCTGTTCTGTCCCAGCCCTTCCAATGAGACTCCCAATTAATTGGTGGACCAGACAAAATCCAATACCCACCTGGCCTTAGAACTCGATCGA